AGAGCGCTTGCCTTGCATGCATGAGGCCCTGGGTTTGATTCCTCAGCACCACATAAGCATAAAGAAAAAAGCCGGAAGTGGCGCTGTGGCTCAAGTGCAGGAGGGGAAAGTATGCGAGAGCAGGGCAGGGCAGGCCTGTGGAGGGTCGGGCAAGCCTCCTCTGGAGGCCATTTAGGACCTTCCTCTAGAGAGGCCTGTTAGAGGTACCTCCCGGAGCAGAGCAAGGCAGGCCTGTGGAGAGTGGAGAGGTCCACAGAGAAGGAGGAAGGAAGAAAAGGAAAAGCCTTACTCTTTGGAGGTTTGGAACTTTGGAGGTCTGAGGTTTGGACGTTTGCAGACCAACTAATAAATAGGTCTGGGCTGCCCATTGATGTTCCCACGGTTTGGTGGTCGAGGCTGCTCTTGATTCTGGGTATCTAGCCCAGGACAAGGTAGTTGCAGGCCCCATTTCTGGTGTAAATAGTGTAAAAAAAAAATTGTCGCCTTTAACTGTGCCTCGATGGGTTGTTTCACTCTTTAGAGGTCATAATTGCGATGAGACCCAAGGTCAGCAGCCACCTCAACGTACCGCCTCAATTTCACTTACTGATACAGATGCCTAGAGAATCCTAAACCATAAGATGGCAAAGAGACAAAAGCAGCTGATCCACTAGCTGAGAATCCATCCGCTCCTGAGGCTGACCAGGGTTGGACTGAGTAAATGCCGGCTTACCGTCATTACCATTATCAGGTTTAGTCATCCAACAAGAAGAAATGAACATGAAATTCCAACAATAAGAAATGAATAAAAGATTGGAGCTGAAGACCTTAAGTGCTTGCTTTTTGCCCATTGACCAGATAACTAGAACTATCTGCATTAACTATGCAGTATGGGGTTTTTATTATTTTTATCTAAAGACATCTCTTTTGGTAATGGCAAACGTGTTTTGTTTTGTTTTGCATGGTTTTCCTCAATACACTTTTAAAGGTTTTTAAATTGTTTCATATCTGGTCAAGTTGAGATTTTTAAGAACTTTATTTTTAATTTGTAATAAAAGTTTTTTTTTAAAAGTCAACAAACTGCAAGCACCTGTTAATAAAGGTCTTTAAAAAAAGGAGGGGGGGCTGGGAAGGTGGCTCAGTGGTAGAGCACTTTTCCTTGCATGCTCGAGACCCTGGGTTCGATTCCTCAGCACCACATAAGAAAAAAGCCGGAAGTGGCGCTGTGGCTCAAGTGGTAGAGTGCTAGCCTTGAGCTGAAGAGCTGAGGGACAGCGTCCAGGCCCAGAGTTTGGGCCCCATGACCGGACCCCCCCCCAAAAAAATGCCGGGCGCCGGTGGCTCACACCTGTAATCCTAGCTACTTAGGAGGCTGGGAGCTGAGGATTGCGGTTCAAAGCCAGTCCGGGCAAGAAACTCCGTGAGACTCTTATCTACAATAAACCACTCAGAAAACCGGAAGTGACGCTGTGGCCCAGGTGGTAGAGTGCTGGCCTTGAGCTGAAGAACTCAAGAGTTCAAGCCCCATGACCGACACACACACACAAAAAGATCATGTCTGCAAATATAGTTTTGACTTTGTCTTTCCCTTTGTGAATCCTTTTTTGTCTTTCTCTTACCTTATTGCCCTGGAGAGAAAATGGACATTCTTGCCTTGTTTCTTATTTTAGAGAACATGGTTTTATTTTTTCACCATTTAGTATGGTATTGTCTGTTGGTCTGTCATATATAGCCTTTATTATGTTGAGGTATGTTCCTTCTATTCCTAACTTCTCCAGTGCTTTTTAACATGAACAGTTGTTGCTTTTTGTTAGGCTTTTTCTGAATCTATTGAGAGGATCATGTGGTTATTGTCTTTGGCTTTGTTAGTATAGTATTATTTATGTATATTAATGGGATAAAATCTATATAATTATAGTTTATATTTTTGATTGGCTGTTGAATTCTGTTGGCAAATATTTTACTAAGGAGCTTTGCATCTATGCTTATCAGAGAGATTGGTGTATAGTTCTCTTTTTTGTTGAGTCCCTACTTGGTTTGGGGTGAGTGTAATGCTGGCTTCATAAAACATGTTTGGTACTGATCCTTCTGTTGTATTTCATGGAAAAGTTTGAAGAATACTGGTTAGTTCATCTTTAAACAAATTGAACTGTGACTCCTTTGGGACCTGGACTTTTTCTTGTTGGAAGACTCCTTATTACTTACTTCAATCTCATAGTATTTTATGGGTCTGTTTTAACTGGCTTATATCTTCTTGGTTCAGAAATATATCAATTTCTGCTAGATTTTCCATCTTATCTTAGTATAGGTTTAAAAGTTGTCCCTTATAATCTTTTGGATTTCTTGGATGTTTGTGGTGAGATAACCCTTGTCATCTCTGATATTATTGATTTGAGTCTCTTCTCTCCTTTTTCAAAAACTCAACTTAGTCGCAGGGGGGTGGGAGAGTAGTCTGTCAATTTTATTAATTTTTTTCAAACAAGTTTTTTCTTTTACTGATTCTATGTGTAGTTTTTTAAGTTTATAATTCATTGATTTCTGCCCCTCTAGTAGTTTTGGGTTTGGTTTGTTCCTGTTTTGGTAGCAGCTTTAGCTATTTCTGTTTTCTTTATTTAAAATAAAAAGAGAAATATGGCTTGGTATTTGTCTTCAAGAACTCACTGCCTCTGACATAGTGCAACAGTCACATTACCCTTCAGCATGTTTCTTCCACTAAGGAAGCTGGAAAGTTGGCTTGGAAAAAAGATGGCCCCAATCAGGCTTCTTTTCTGCTCATTTTTCCACCCAGTCTTTTGGAAACATTTGGGTCCACACCTACAATCTCTGCCAGATTTATACTAGTGACTACTTCTCTAGTTTCTCATCTGCCTGACTTCTTTGGGTGTGGGTATTTGAGACCCCTGTATTAAGAACAACATCTGGGAGCCATTCACTCTTGAGGGAGTAGAAGGGTGGCACAGGCTTCTGGGAAAGGATACTGCTCAAATGTCTCAACAGCCTGAGTGGGAATAGTGGTGGCCTATTGTGGCTGTGCTAGGAAGTGGGATAAGGCCAGAGGCATGCAGATTTGCTCTGCAATATAGTAGATGGGAATCACAGGAAAGAAATCCAGGAAAGTTTTCTGCAGTCATGTGCGAATAGAAACAGGTTCAGGAGAAGGTTAGTTCTGAAGGCTTTTGCAGAAGTGAATGCTGTCATCTGAGAACTGGGGATCTCCCAAGTGTCATTCAGCAGGTCTAGGGTGGGAGGGCAGAACTTTTTTTTTTTGGTCAGTCATGGGGTTTGAACTCTGTCTCTCAGGTCTTCAGCTCAAGGCTAGTGCTCTACCACTTGAGCCACAGTGCCACTTCCAGTTTTCTGGTGGTTTATTGGAGATATGAGTCTCATGGACTTTCCTGTCCAGGCTGGCTTTGAACTGTGGTCCTCAGATCTCAGCCTCCTTAGTAGGTAGGATTACAGGTGTGAGCCACCGGCGCCTGGCCTAGGACTTTATTTAAGTACTAGAGTTTGAACTCAACATCTCACAATAGGCTGCTGTTCTAATACTTGTGTCATGCCTTCCACCATACCACTGGCTGATTATTTGGAGACAGATTCCAGCAATCTTTTCTATCTGAGCTAGCCTTCTCTAGATCTCAGGCTTCTGAATAGCTAAGGTTACAGGCATGAGCCACTGGTTTCTGGAGAGACTGCCTACTTTTTTTTTTTTTTTAATCAGTCCTGGGGCTTGAACACAGGCCCTGAGCGTTTTTGCTCACAGCTAGCATTCTACCACTTGAGTTAAAGCTTCACTTCTGTTTTTTTTTTTTTGTGTGTGTGTGTGGTTTTGTATTTTTGATAGTTAATTGGAAATAAGAATCTCATGTACTTTCCCTGTTTTGCCTTGAACTTCAGTCCTTAGATATCAATATCCTGAGTAGCTAAGATTATTGGCATGAGCCACCGGTGCTCAGTTTGTTTTTTGTTGTTGTTTTGGTACTGGGGCTTGAATTCAGGGCCTGGGTACAGTCCCTGGACCAAATTGACACCAAAGGGACTCTGCAGGTCTGCCATCAGTAATTGAAAGAGAGAACTATTGTACCTGCACTTCACTCTGAACACAAAGAAGAAAAGAATTTGTAGGCTGTCTTTTAATTGTAGTCCTTAGATCTCATCCTGAGTAGCTAGGTTTTACAGGAGTGAGCCACTAGTGCCTAATGAGATTGTGTGTGTATGTGTGAATGTATGTATGTATGTGTGCTTGTCCTGGGCTTGGACTCAAGGCCCGTGAGCTATCATTGAGTTATTTTACTCCAGGCTGCCATACTTCCACTTTGGGCTTTTTGGTGGTTAATGGGAGTTAAGAGTCTTCTAGACTTTCCTGCCTCAGCTGGATTCTAACTGATCTCAGCCTCCTGAGTAGCTAGGATTACAAGTGTGAGCTATGAGTGCTCCATTGATATTGCATTCTTTAAAAACTGTGTGGCCCCTGAACTAGATTTTGAGTAGTGAAGGTTCAGAGAAGGACTGCAATTTATTTATTTATTTATTGGGTCCAGTTATGGGGCTTGAAGTCTGGGCCTGGGCGCTGTCCCTCAGCTCTTCAGCTCAAGGCTAGCTCTCTACGACTTGAGCCACAGCACCACTTCCGGCTTTTTTCTTTTTTGCTTATGTGGTGCTGAGGAATCAAACCCAGGGCCTCAGGCATTCAAGGCAAGCGCTCTACCACTGAGCCACCTTCCCAGCCCTTGAATAGTATTTGATATGTAAACAAAAAAGTTTCTGCTAGTTTAAGTTTTCACAGAAAAATATGATTTGTTAGTTGAAATAACAAATTTTTTTAGTTAATTGCTCTACCACTGAGCTACCTTCCCAGCCCTTGAATAGTATTTGATATGTAAACAAAAAAGTTTCTGCTAGTTTAAGTTTTCACAGAAAAATATGATTTGTTAGTTGAAATAACAAATTAAGAATTTCAGATTTTTATTTGAAATCTAATGTTATACTGTTGAAAGCTTTTTTTCCCCTTACATTTAAAAATTAACACATTTCTGGGTGCCAGCAGCTCATGCCTGTAATCCTAGCTACTCAGGAGGCTGTGATCTGAGGCTCATGGTTCAAAACCAGCTCTAGTAATTGTGTCTCCCACAAATGGCACAAACAGAAACTTCAGTGATAACTTTTTTTTTGTGTGTGATGGTCCTGGGACTTGAACTCAGGGTTTGCCTCTGTTCCTGAGTGTTTTTTTTTTTTTTTGCTCAAATCTTCAAGGCTAATGCTCTACCACTGGAGCATCTATCTGCTCTCCAGTTTTTTGTTTTTGGGGTTTTTTTTGGGTCCAGTCGTTGAGGAATCGAACCCAGGGCCTCGAGCATGCAAAGCAAGCGCTCTACCATTGAGCCACCTTCCCAGCCTCTTGTTTGTTTGTTTGTTTGTTTGTTTTTTGTAAGTCATCCCAAATTAAGTTGCAACACCTTTTCCCAGTTTGATCTCAGCAAATGAAATAGAAAGAGAACCGCGGTCCTCCAGGCAGTAGGTGGCGCCAACGTGCTGTTCTCAGAGACTGGAAAGGAGGGACTCTGGAAACTGCGTCTGTTCGACTAGCCAATGGGAGGGGACTTCGTCATCGTAACGCCTCCCGGGTGGACTCCCGCAGAAATTTGAAATGACTGCTGAGTTGCTGGTGGGCGGCTGCCTGGAGCGGGAGGCCATGGCGGGCCAACGCACTGTCCGCGCCTCTGAGGAGAACTTGGAACCCCTGGAAAAAGGTGAGCACCGCCGAATCGAGCGGATGGTCTCTGTGGCGGCTGGGCCTTCGGGGTGAGGCGCTCGACTGGCGAGGATGGCGGGTGGACCTGGGACCCGCTCTCCGTTCGGGGTCCGGAGAGCTCCACCCTCGGTGTGGGCTTCCTGCGACTGGAACAAGCTGGGTTGTGCCTGGGGCGCCCAGCTGCAGGACTCTGGGAGCACGTGCTCCTTACTGTCTTAACTTTATATGCATCTCTGATGCGTCTGGATTCTCACTTTCCTTTTTGGGAAAACTAGCCCTTCTCTCGGCCCTTGAATAGCCCTCGAGCCCGCAGGGCGTGGATCCTGGAGGAACCAGATTTCAGCTCTCAGGCCTTTCCTTGAAGATTCCATTCCTGTCTGGATCTGTCTGTTTCTGTATTTGTGTATGTGTGAATTCTATTGTCTATTTATATCATCTGTCTGTGCTTATGTATGCATATATGTGTGTGTATTTCTTTCTTCCCTTATGTATATGTGGAGTTATTTTTGGCAACCCAGAGCCTTGCATGTGCTAGGGCAAGCGGGCCACCACTGAGCCACACCCCTGCTCTCATTACTTTGTCTTCTGACATTTATACTGTGTAGTGGAAGTAGTTCAGTTCCAGTGACAAAGGTGTGGTGGAGCTGGCAAAAGTTGTTTAGTTTCATTTTTCCCCCTTGGAAAACAGAGCTATATATTTTTTTTTTACATTTTTTTTATTGTAAAGATACTATACAGAGGGTTACAGTTACATGAGTGAGGTAATGAGTACACTTCCTCTTGAACATTGTTACCCCCTCCATTGTTTTCCCCCTACCATCCCCTCCCTCCCTCCTTTCCCCAAGTTTTTTTTTTTTTTTGATTGTGATTAAGTGATTACATAATTTCCGGAAAT